AACCAGGCACCGGCCAGCGCGCCCGCCGCCGGACCGCTTTCGAGCAACTGCACCGGCGCGCGCTTGGCCTCGCTCACATGGGTGAGGCCGCCGTTGGACAGCATGAGGAACAGACCGCCGGGAATTCCCTCGGCGCGCAACGCCTGTTCCAGCGTTCGAGATAGATCTCTGCCAGCGGTCGCACATAGGCGTTGGCCACCGTCGTGCTGGCGCGCGGATACTCGCGGATTTCCGGCGCGATGTCGGAGGAGAGCGAGATCGACAGGTTCTGGAAGCGCTCCGCGACGGCCGCGCCGATCGCGCGCTCGTGCGCGGCGTTGGCGTAGGAGTGCAGGAAGCAGATGGCGAGGCTTTCCACGCCCTGCGCCACGAGGTCGGCCACTTCGCCCAGTGCCGCATCGACGTCGAGTGCGATTTCGACCGTGCCGTCGGGCGCGAGCCGTTCCTTCGCTTCGCGGCGCCACGACCGCGGCACCAGCGGCTTCGGCATCTCGATGAACAGGTCGTAGAGCTCGTATTTGCGCTCGCGTGCGATCTCCAGCACGTCGCCGAAGCCCGCCGTGGTGAGCAGGCCCGTCTTCGCGCCCTTGCGTTCGATCAGCGCGTTGGTGAACAGCGTCGTGGCATGCACGACTCGGCCGATGTCCTGCGGCCTGGCGCCCGCCTTCTCCAGCACGCGCCGCGTGCCTTCGAGCGCCCCGCGGGCGGGATCGTCGGGGTGTCGTGCTTTCCTTCCAGATGACGGCCCGGCCGGTGCGGATCGTGGATGACGAGGTCGGTGAAAGTTCCCCCGATGTCGATGCCGAGGGAAAGCGGCGCACTCATTACACGTCCTTTGCTATTCGGCCTTCACATTGCCCTGCTTGGCGACCTTCGCCCAGCGCTCGCGGTCCTTGACGATGTAGGCGGCGAAAGCATCGGGCCCCTGCCCGATCGGCTCAAGCCCCTGCTTGGCCAGAGTGTCGGCATTCTTCGGATCAGCCATCGCTTCGAGAAACAGCTTGGCCAGCGCACTCTTTATGTCCGCTGGCAAGGGCAGCCGGGCCCATCAGGCCGAACCAGTTGTTGATGTCGAGCGCGGGGATGTCCTTGGTGAGCAGCGGCAGTTCGGGCGCCAGCGCCGTGGGCTTGGTCGAGGCGAGCGCCAGCACGCGGACCTTGCCGCCTCTCGCCTGCCCGATCAGTTCCGAGACGTTGCCGAAGAACAG